GGAGATCTATTTGGTATAATTCAATCTTTAGTAATGTAGATTTAGATAGCCCTTTTGTTTATGTAACTCTTATGAAAATAAGTTGGCTTTTTGTAACTTCTTTGTAGAAAAATGATTAATTATTGTGGGTTTTTTTATCATTTGCTTCTTAAAAATGGGATATTAATTGCACAATATCTATTTTCCTTCAAGTTCATACTTTTTTCTCTATTTTATCTTGACTTATTTAGATAAGTTAACCCATAGACTTATTTATTTTAAACACTCAGTATGTTCTTCTCTCTGTTGCTTTGTTAGACAGCAAGAATTCTTTAGTATTTTTAATAAAATATCCTTGCAGGAAACTACACTGGGGTTCTTTCATTCACAGAGTCAAGCAATGACACCTGTTTTGTTAGATCAGGTGTCTAACCCTCTCAACATCCAAAAGATTACATGGAGAAAGTTGAAAACACCATGAATGATCGACTAACAAATTTATTGTGTTCCTTGATTAAATGTATATATATGGATCAGTCTTAAATTCGGATGTAAAGCTCTTATGAATTACATGGTTCTTCTCCACAATTCTTTCGTTTGGGCATTAAACACTCCAGTAAAAAACTGGTTTGAAGGAAGAAGAAAGTCGAGAATAGATTCAATCCAAATTCTATGGGAATAAACAAAGCTAAATGTTTCAGTCATTTTTGAAGCAGAACGGATACGTTTTCTGCACCATATGATTTTAATAATATTCATCTGAACATACAGTTTAGACACATGAGACCACAAGCCAACAAACAAGATTTCAGGCAAATCAAGAAAAATAACTGAGGGGATTTTCTACTGCAAAATTTCCCAACTCGAACTGTAATAGAGAAAAAGTCTGACTCCACATTGGAACTGTTCCTTTAGTTTGAAGCACTGTGCCCTGTTTTCCAGGCTTAATCTTGCTGGCTCCGCGCCTTTTGTAAAACAACTTTGCCTTTAGCCTAAAACCTACAGGAAAGCCTATTCTCGGGGCTCTGACCTTTAAGGATGTTAGCCCTTCTGCACTTACGCAGGGATGGCAAGTTGCAAAATAGAGAATAGCCTTTGTTTTGTTGGAGATTTACAGGGACACCACAGACTGACCCACATGGATGGCTGCAAGAACAAAGAATGCCTGCAGCAAAAACTTTGCAC